TTTTTTTTTTTTTTTTTTTTTTTTTAATTCGGACACGCCGGAGTTATTATTTCGCTCCAATTTTATCGGATGTCCCGAAGGACACATACTCTGCTTTGTAGGTGAGCCTACCCTTAGCAATCCTTTTCGATCAAGAAGCACTGAACTCTACCCCCCCCTAGCCGTAGTGGGCCCCAACCCTTGAGGCTTGAGTTGCGACGGTTCTTTGCGCGGAGGCGCCGCGGTGCGCAAGAGGTGTGCTTCATTTGGGGAAACTTGCGCAGCGCTGAGGGGAGCGCAGCGCTGAGGGAGAAGGCCCGCAAAGGCCGACCGGCAAGCCGTGGGGGGGAAGGGAAGGGAAGGGAAGGGAAAGGTAGGGGAGGGGAGGGGACGGGAGTCCGAGGGTGGGGGAGGGCAAGAGAGAAGAGCAAGAGAGAAGAGCAGGAGAGGATGTCGGCGGACGTCATCGAAGAATTTGTACCGGCGGCCTCGGCCTTAGTCAAACTGCACTTCCCTTCTTTGTGGACTTGGTTCTTTCCTATCAGCTGTCGAGCGCTATTTCCACCTCCAAGTCTGAATATAAAGGTAAGGAATTATTGCTCAAGAATCATACTTTTTTTTTTTTTTTTTTTTTTTTAATTCCCCCCCTCTTTCCCCCCCCCCTCCCCCCCCCCTAAGAATCATACATTCCCGTGTCTCCGAAACCGTATATCTAGGGGAGGAGGGGAGGAGGAGGGGAGCGGGGACAGAAGAAAAAAGAAAACGTATTCTTTTTCTTTGGAACCGTACTTCTGCCAAACCGGGGCGAGGGACGAGGTCCAATCACAGTAGCAAAGAGGATTGGATTGAATGCCTGAATCTGGAGGGGTGTTGTGGAGAGGTGCAGAAAATCGAGATTGAACAGCATTTCTGCATCTCTGCGCAAAATACATCCAGATTCAGGCGCTAATTGCAATCCTCTTTGCTTGTGGGACCTCGCCTCCGTACTTTTCCAAAACCGTGCTCTTCTCCTCACGTACTTCTTCTTCTTCTTCTTCTTCTTCTTCTTCTTTTTTTCCCCCTCTCCTAACGTACTTGTCCTAAACGTACTCCTCTTGAGAAAAAACAAAAAAAAGAAAGAAAAAAAGAAAGAAAAGGTAATTCTCCTGCGTTCTTTTCTGGTTCCCCCAGAAACAGGTAGGTTGCTCACTTGATCTATGAAGTCGAAGCATCAACAAAAAAAAAAAACACAAAACCAAAACAAGGAAAAAAAAACACGAAAACGAAGCGCTGTCCCACTCTTAAATTTGCCCTTAATTGAGTACTTTGTTTTTTCGTTTGTGTCCTTCATTCCGCTTTCTTTTTTTTTTTTTTTTTTTTCAAATTGTCCATCCAGTGACAATGAGTAGTGAAATTCAGAAGTCAAAAATTTTGTTTCCATCTTTCGGTATAATGATGCAGAGAGGAATCATCATGGGATAGAGTTTTGGTTGGGAAGAAAGAAGTGAAAGATAGAGAGAAGAAGTCAAATAAAAAAAAAAAAAAGAAAAAAAAAGATACAGAGAAGAGTAGTGGTAGGTAGGTAGAGTGAGGTGAAATGGAGAGAAGAATGTAACTTACACTTACTTAAAGAACAAAACAAAAGAAAAAAAGAAAAGAAAAAAAAGAAAAAAAAGAGAGAGAGAAGAGTAGTATGGCCCCTGCCCAAGAAGTAAGATACAATTTTTGAGAGAAAAACAATTGAAGTGTTGCCATAGTTGGTTGGTAGAGTTGTGGATAGCTTTTTTTTTTATTATTATTATTTTTTTTTTATGAAGAGCCTCGCTTGACTACTGACCAATTGTGCAAAATGAGAATGAATCTTCCGCTAGAACATGGACAGGTACACAGCCATATTTTTTGTCTTTTGTGCATGTGGTGAGCAGTGGAGCGATATACATACAAATATCTATATCTATATCTATATATATCTATATATATCGTCACAAACAGAACTGCCCGGTAAACCGTAGGCAGAGAGAGAGAAGAGGACAACAAACGAGGG